CCTACCCTCCACTTTCCCATTCTGGAGCGCTAGCTTTCGCCCCCCCCTTGGCCTCAAGTTTACATCTGAAATCCCTCATCACGGGTGTTTTGGTCAAAATCAGGTACCCCGGTGGACCTATCCAAACATGAACAGGCTACCAGACATGGTCAACCTAGAAGGATACTTGGGGCTCCGGCGCACGCGGTCAGCATTTTTTGTGGTCTTTTCCAGAGGGGTATACTTGACGCTTCGTCCTCCGAGCGCTCAAAAAGTCCTTCATGACTTCACCTTCAGACTTCCCAAATATCAAACTGGATGCAACTGGCAGACTGATGAGAAACCTTTTTGGTGACTCCATTGTGCAAGAGGCCCTTGACAGCCTTATACTTTTGCAAGGTGGCGGGGTCAAAGGTAGAGCATGGTAGAGCTACGATGAACTACGTACTTGATTGCTTTTCATGGCTTTTCTAGATGCCCTTCTCATCCCTTCTCAAATCCCAAGAATATTCCACCCAAGAGAGGATTTTCCTGCAGTTGGATTGGAGAATTCGATGTTTTTTTGACGCTCTAGGCTCTAGCTGTTGCAACAGTGCCCACCACGCGCATGGTGACCCACCACGGCCGTACCTTGGGCCCGGAGAGGTGATGCGAAGCGCACGACTCGTTACGATTCTCCCAGTCGCCACGGAAGCTCCGAGCTACTCCTGTCGTGAGGATGGATGGATTGCATGCGTGATTTTGCTGCCATGTCCTTGGCTACCTAGAAAGCCGGAACAAGTTTAAAGTCCAAAGGAACAATCGTTGCATGCTGTCCGCGGGCAGGCGACCATGGAGACGGAAGAGGACTTCGATCGGCTGGCGGAGGCGCGATCGGCGGGGGGGGTCAACGGAGTCGTGTGAAGCAGGAAAGTGCTTCTTTGTTTGTTACTAAGAAGCTTCAAAGACCTATACTGAAAAGCTTCTTGTTTCTTGTAATGAGCTTCAAAGACCTACTAGTAGCGTCCTTCGCCACGAAGTAGTAAGGCCAGGAGTGCCCCGTTCGTAGCTTCCTTGCTGTGATCGTAAGCGATGCCCTGAGTAGCTCCTTGCTCCTGGTAGCTTCTTAGTTCCTGGTAGTAAGGCCTACATCTCTCGTACGGACGCCGGTGGGCGCGCTCCCAGCTGGGAAGAAAATCAGTTCTCCTATCTGCACAGTTCTCCGTGGGTGCGGTCCTTTTGCATAGGCCGAGCCCATCAATGACTGAGTCGAACGAAATCCCTGAAACCGAACCCAGGGGGTCGGAACGCCGGCGGTCGGTCTAAGCTATACACACCCATGTACATACCTTCACAGGAATGGGTCGAGTTGGAATCCGAAAGCACCACAACGGTCCCACCTCGGTCAATTCGGTGGGCGCAGATCCCTAAAACCACCCACCCACCCACCCCACCCACCTTCTCCGAAAAGGGAGGTAGGCCAGCCCTTGGGATTCAGAATGTCCCTGGTGGTTAGGGTGGTAGGTGCCAGGGGGGGGTTGTGCCCACCTTGTGAGTATCTGTAGCCACGTCTCCCACACCTTCCCCTTCTTTGAGAGCTACCACCGTCTTTGTTGAGGCCCTCGATGATCGTTGGCGGCTCCGGAAGGATGTGGAGGTGCCGTCCCCCTCGGAGTCTTTCGAAACAAAACGGAGGGCACGGCCATGTCAGGTGGATTAGTCGAGAGTATTGTGTCGAGACTCTTGTGGTTTCTGCAGTCTGATGATTGGACGGGTCAGGTTGATGAAGCCTTTTGGTTGGTGGATTAGATGGTTGATGCCATGGTCAATTCGTACCATGACTTCAACTTGAACATGCCTCCTGTGAACGAAAGTGCTCTTGGCATCTCTTAGCAAAAGGGATGTGAACAAGGCCTTGCAAATTTTAAAGTTTACACCATGTTTCCCCTCCCTGCAACAAACATGGAAGTGGATGCCCGCTGTTGGTAGAGGAAAGTGGTGTTTCCAGGGGTCAATGCCATCCACTCAACCATGAAGGATTGTTGGAGTCAGGGTGTTCGCCACACTGCGAATGGGGCGGCCATCGAGAATCCCTGATGCCAGATCGCATCCACGTTTGGAGTGGAAA